ATGAACATGTGTGTCTGGTTGTACTAGTCTGTTCTTGTGCCGGTTTTATAGTGCTACTGAGATACCATGGCCCAGTTTAACATGAGTACCCCACTCAGACACAGTGCACTGACTCTGAGCCGACCAGTCCTTGATTTAGTGACTTAATGCGGATCACCAGGCAAGAAGTATCATCGTATAATGTCTTTTGGTATGATGCGCCAAGGATGCAAAGTAGGGCTGGGACGAGTCCAAATTTACTACCCGGGTTCCCACCCCCCTATTACCTGACCCTACCAGGGTAGCTGCTGTAGGTCTCACCACCGACCTCCACTCTCCAGGCAGACACTCTATCCACTACACAATGGAGGTGGTCAGGAGATCAAACCACCGACCTCCACTCTCCAGGCAGACACTCTATCCACTACACCACGGAGGTGGTCAGGAGATCAAACCACCGACCTCCACTCTCCAGGCAGACACTCTATCCACTACACCACGGAGATGGTCAGGAGATCAAACCACCGACCTCCACTCTCCAGGCAGACACTCTATCCACTACACCACGGAGGTGGTCAAATTAAAAAAGTAAGATCTGTCATGGTGATGGAAAGCTTTAATACTTGACATAAATATGTGGTAACAAATATTGTCCAGTACTTGAGCCGATCTGCTTCCATTAACTTAATACTGGCATGGCTATAAACAAGACACACAACCCCGACACATCTTTAGGCGCCATTACAGCATCTACGTTTCACAGACACAGCAGCAGGAATAAATTCTTTCTGAAATGCAATTGAGCATTTGTCTATGAAACATCAAAATTACTACAATGGAGAAATAATAGAATTGTGGTGCAGAAAACCACAATTTGTAAACTTATCAATTCCAGAAAATTTGAACCTGATTATAATGTCAATACTGCATTGCGTTTTCTGGTTGGATTATCTCCCTTGGTAGGTTCAAAGACAAATTTGTGTCAAAATTGATAAACTGATTATCTCCCTTGGTTGTTGAACAGGTTTAGAATATCTAAATAATCACTCAAGGCATTCTTTTGATTAGAGTTAAACATTCTATATTATCTCATCTGACAAGACAGATAACCTTTAACCCCAGATAGTTCAATAGTCAGTTAGTACTACACGACCTTAACTAGTTGTCGGTACTGTCAGTGAACAACTTGGGTTGCAGTTAAAACAATTTAAGGAAACATAATTCTACTGCTATCAGTAGGACTGATTGTATTCAAGTATGATTCAAAGCCTAAACATCATTTGAATCAGTGAAGAAGATAAAATGCCATGTTTAGTTGAAGACACTTTGGTTTAACAACAACGAACTATTAGATAAGTGATCATGCTAAGAAAACATTCATATTTTCCACCTTTAAAACATTCCAGTATAAATGCCAGCCATGACTATGACCTGTGTACCCTGGATCAAACTCATTTGATCATTTGATCATACTCCTATTTCTCCTGCAGCCTAACAAGAAGGGGCGTGTAGAGAGCTACAGTAGTACCCGAGTACCTTCCTATATACAGGGGAGGTGGGGTAGCCTAGTAGTTAATGCGCCCCCTTCTCACGCCGAAGGCACGGGTTCGATTCACCTCATAGGCACAATGTGTGAAGCCATTTCTGGTGTCCCCTGTAATATTAAATGAATATTGCTAGGGCAGCTTAAGACCCAACTCACTCACTGACTTCTAAATACAGAATTGTTTTTACCTCTACTGATAATCTTTGATTTATTGGTTAATCCATCCAGTGCTGACCTAACAATAGGAAACTGACCTGAAAACAATTGGTCAAATCTTGCCTGACACTGACTTCAAATACTGACTCGTCACATGATCACTATTGACCTGTCACATGATCACTATTGATCTGTCATGTGATCACTATTGACCTGTCACATGATCACTATTGACCTGTCATGTGATCACTATTGACCTGTCACATGATCACTATTGACCTGTCACATTATCACTATTGACCTGTCACATGATCACTATTGACCTGTCACATGATCAATAGTGATCTGTCACATGATCACTATTGACCTGTCACATGATCAGTATTGTCTGCTAGAAAACAACATGGTGTCACTCTTGGCGAGGTTACAACATGACAAGGGCCCTCGGGACTGACCCCTGCAGCCTCTGTTCAGTCAGACCGCACCAGGGTCCTTTCTTAATGACCCTGCCAAGAGTAATGATTGGTACAATGTACCCTGGCCAAAGCATAGACACAGAATTATACAGAAATACCCTAATACTGCATAGCACAGGAGTCTCTGCACGAGGACATTCTATGGTATGAATATGGGGGTCTTTCAGACATCCGGTGTGCAAAACTGGATAAAAACATTTGTTGGAATATGATATTTCAACCTTTTGCTGCTTGAATCATACGTTGTAATATATCCATATACACCGAAATCGCTCCTTTTTAAGAAACTATTCAAGGCTAAAGTGTAGCCGAAACTGGTTTTGTACTGCTGAAAGGACATGTCTAAGTGTCCAGTGGGTCATTGAAGTGGTCAGTTAGGGTACATTTCTGTATGGCCTAATTAACATGACAACAAAGTCGAAATAACAGTCGAAAGGGAAAGAAAGTCTTAGAGAGTTCCTCTGTTCTGATTTTCTTTCAAAGACATAAATAATGTCATATATTATTCCTCCACGAAACCAAAGTGACAAAGTCTCTTATTTTTTGCACACAATGAGGAACTCATCTCTACAAAAAAGCTGCATCAATCTAAGAGATACATGACTCCAGAGATATAGTACACCTAGGGTCTGACTGGTAGAGGACGTGGACTCAAGTACCTGTGTCTCAAGGCCAACCTGGAGTCGTGTTCCTCACTTAACACTTATATGCCACACAACTGACACTGTCTTTTTCTTTCAGCATCATCTAAATCATACGTGTCTAAACACTGTATCGTTCCTCTCCCACGTCTGCAACACATGTTCAAGAAGTGAAGAGTGAGAGTTATCCCCCTTATCAGTTCCTCAAGTCCATGACGTACATCTCGAGTCCATCTAAACTCATACAGTCAGATCCCTAGTGTCTCCTCTGCAAATCTGTACAGTTATTCAAGCAAAAACGATATCATGAGACAGGTACCCAGTTTCTGACAAGTTAAAAGACAAACAGGAGAAAGGCACTATAACCATGGAGACGAGCACAGGCTTCATAGAACCAGTATACAGGACATATGGTTAGTACCAGTAATTACCGGTATCACAGAGTGCTATTGGTACGTAAGTCTACTTACCATTGTTTCTCTTTAATAAGCTTCGATATACACCCAAAGTGATCACTGTGCTAAGACAATCATACATCTTTGTCCATCTATGTTCAAGTATGGTAGCTATGATAAACCTAACACTAAGATCGTTCTGTGGAACGGGCATGGTCGGAGGCAACTAAGTAACTCTAAAAAGTGATCTTAGTGCTAAAACAATCATACATCTATGTTGAAATATGGCCGTTGTGATAAACTTAGCGCTGACATTGTTTCATTGAACAGTGGCCATGATCTCAGGCATTAAGTGACCTTGAAAAGTGATCTTAGCGCTAAGAAACTAAACAGCTTAGTAACGTTGCAATATTAACTAATGTCTTACGCTGATGTAATCAATATAATATTTATTTATTAACAAAACTCAGAGGTTGCATCTCCTACATTTTTATGTGATATACATTTAACTGTGATGTGTGCATAGTGACACACCTGTAAGAGTACCTGTTTAAATCCACAGTTGTGGAATAAACTGGCTTATTGTTCTTAAAGCTAAAAAAAAATAATAGTCTTGGTTCTCAGGCACCGCCCTCATCTTCATAAAGTCTGCTGCATGTTTCATTTTTATTTCCATTTTCAAAAAAAATAAAAAAATATTAATACTTAAAAACAAGGCCATCCAATATGACACACAGTTACTTCCCTTTACATGCTCACTGCTTTAAAGTGCATCTTGTGTTATTGTCATGGTGGCAATAGGAGTTTGTATGCTTGTTTATGTAGAGAGGCCCTTTCCCAGGTTGATGGCACACAATCAATTGTTTATTTGGTCACATACTAGTTTGAACAAGTAAAAACAACCCAAAAAAACACACCCCGCCTGCACTATATTTTCAAAAGTCATTGCCTGAGAACCAATTCTTGTATTTTTGTAAGCCTAAATCAGCCATGACAATATTTATAGGATTATGAAATGTAACATACATGCATAATCGGATTAAACCCCTTGTATTAGTTTTATTTTAACATCATCATTGAGCAAGTAGTCAGTAAATATACACTTATATACATCCCAGTAGAAGGTACTGTTGTGTGTGGTTTCCAGTGTGAATATGAATATATCAAGAGACAGATACGGACATTAGTCATCGCAAATACCCTACTACAGTGCAACCTTGTTAGACTGGACCCCTTACCTCTTGGACGCCACCTTCCGGACCATTTACTGCCGGGAATGCTGGTGTGAACACACAAGGACATTCCTCTTTACCAATGATTTGTTAATCCGGAATTAATTTGTTAATTTGTTAGTCTGGATTAAGGAGGTTTAATTGTACATTCTCTTTGAAAAACATCATCGCTGCTTTGTTTCTTTTGAATATATACTACTCAAAAGAAGTTAAGGACCACCTGATTTATTTTATATGTCTACTGCTAATCTGTCATGCCAGAATAGATTAACTATAGTAATATAAAAAAAAAATTGGGTGTTCCTTAACTCTTTTGGAGTAGAATACATAGTAACCACTATACACACTTGTATTCTGCCTGACTTCCTTTGCTTGAGGGAACTCTTTCCTCAGTACTGGTAGAAAGTCTCTATAGTATCATAGCAAAGCCATGTACACTACAAGTTGTACAAACTCTACCTGAGGTCAGACTGCCCATCATTGTACTTGGCAAGGGCTGATCCAGCATTAGTAAAAGGGAGGGGTCCAAAACGGGGACCCCCTGGAGATCCCCCCGAACCCCCCTGGATCCCCTCTCTGGATCCACCTGTTCTCTGGATGATGAAACCTCTTAAGATATTATGGGATTGTAATTTAATACATTTGTTAGACATATCTCATGCAATACTGATGAAAAATAATAAACTTCAAAACTGAAACAATGTCAGTCCAATAATTTACACACCAGGCACAGCTGCAGAAAAACAAAATGTCAGAACCGTCAGTTCAAAGCTAAGTGAACTTCTACATATCACATTGTCTTGGGAATAGTGTCCCTAACACAATAATGTCAAAATAACATCAGAATAAAAGTCAGATGTCACTTCATCCAATCCAAATTCATGTTCAATGTCCAATGAGCTTCCAGATAACAAGTTTGACGACTCATTTTAGAGTGCCACTCCAATTTATAGGGTTGTAACGCATCACTTCCCGATCGTATCGATTTTCCATATGCCGGGTGAATCTTGACGATCTCCATCTGTCCTCCATTAACTGTAATGTAAAAAAGCATTTGAAAGAACATTTAGTTTAAACTGTATTTTCTTTGGGATCAAGGTGGACACATAATATCCCCCTTGGTTAGACAGTTCAGAAAAACTAGAATGAGTTTTTATTCAAAAACTAGTCCCCCCCCCTCCTTTTCTTTGACACATGAGTTCAAGTTGTTACCGCAAAAGTGTCGCAAATCTGAAAACAATACTAGCAAATAAAAGCATAAAAAGATAACGGTTCCATGCAAAATTTTCATGAAGTGTAAATTTTGGTGGGATACAAACACTACTTGTTTGATTCTTAATCCAGATTGTTTCCATGGAAACACAACAAATTAGAATAATTCAAAATTGAAAAATATGAAAGGGCAATAGTTGAGCAATTGCTCATTGCATAAGTACAGTTTCATGCAAAAATATTCATTAGTTTGACATTTATGGCTCGGAAACAAAGCCTAGAGTTGTTTGAGAAAAATTCCAAAGTCAAAATTGTTTCAATGGAAACATGAAAAATATAAATTTGGAAAAATTTCAAAATAGCAAAAGACAACAGTTAAGCAAATAATCAATGCATATGTGCAGTTTTGGAGAAAATTGTTGAACGTTTTTTAACCCTAACCTTGTTTGAAACTGTTTGAAGTCAAAATTGTTTCCATTCTAGTTTAAAAAAAACTGAACATTTTTCAGGTTATGGCTCGGAATAGGATGGAAACGCTGCCGCAACCCAACGGGACAAGAATCAAAACCAATATGTCTCCCCTCCCTACGTCCTCTAGCTGTTACAATCAGATATATACAGCTGCCTTTCACAACTTTCCATACATACAAATGTCAACGTTTGTTGTATTCCCCTTGAGTTATAGGAATAAGGTCAAGGTCAAGTGGTAAATGTAAGTTGCTTGTTTATTTGAATTTCTTGAATTATATCTTTCTCCGTTTTATCCAATGAATTGAGATAACTTTGTCTTATTTTCATTTACAACCCTATAAACTAAGAAAGAAGGATAAGAAGGTACTTGTTTCCACAGTACTAATTATACAATAAAACTGGACTTCTTTCCCAGAAAGCTTTCCTCCCACATTAAGCTGACGCACCGCAATATAACTGGCATACTGTTAAAAATGGCGTTAAAAACCCAACTCACTCTTTCTCAGAAAGTAAAACATTTAAGTACATTGAGAATTTGTCTTTTCTCACAGAAATAGACTGAAAAATATTAGTACAATGTATTACATGTAAAATAATCATAATAAAAACAAATATCCAAATTATGTTGAAAAATTTCCTTGGCGTATGAAAATGTCTGCTTCTCTGAATATACTCAGGCAGAGCATTCACTGGGATTATTCCATCAAGGGAGGCTACTCTTTATGGACAGAATGTCCATGCAAAATATAATTTGAACTTACTGTTCTTTAAACAGCTCTTTCTGAGTGAGTGAGTTCTGAGTTCTGAGTGAGTTCTGAGTGAGTTCTGAGTGAGTTCTGAGTGAGTTGGTGAGTGAGTGAGTGAGTGAGTGAGTGAGTGAGTGAGTGAGTGAGTGCGTGAGTGAGTGAGTGAGTGAGTGTTGTAACGCAGTTTCCAGCAGTATTTCAATTATATCACAGCATGTCATCTTAATTTACCAGTAAGAGAAACATACAGTTATTCTGGTCTAGTAGCACTTGGTGAAATCCACGAACAAAGGTACGTTACAGACATGACCAAGGTGCATGATCACAATGAATCTAGGATTCAAATCCACAATTCGTATCCTGGCACCACCAAGGGGAATAACTCACAACAGCAAAATCAATATTATATATGATAATATTCATAACCACATGTATTTAAGATGAACTCACATCTTTGTTTGCGTCTCGGAAGGTCTTGAGGTAGCAGAATTTCTTCGAGAATTTATCCATGTCTTGTTCTTGGCACTGACGGTCGTACTGCACAGCGGCCTCGCTCTCTCGGACTTTATCTACCAATGTCTGTTTCTTCACAGTGTCCTGGTCCAACATTTGCTGCTTCAACACTTCACGGAAATGTTTCCTGAAAACAAATATTCAAAATCAATTTGATATTACAAAAGAAACATCTGAACGAGACACCTTGAGTGACTGCAACCAAACATCTAGTTTACCCTACCCTTGTAAAACCGTCTACCCAAGGCAAGGGAGTTAACTGACTACAAGACTCCATTTTCCACCTTTGCCAAACTACGTTGGAATTTTGTGTCTGAATCATAGCACCACCAGTGGCTAATATGAGTTATGTCCCTTCTATGTCCCTCCTATTGACCAATCAGATTCCATATCACATGCATTTGCTTCAAACCAAATGGCGACGTCCATTCAAGACAATCTGATTGATAATCAAGATTTAAAACAGATCTTACCTCGTGAAAGCATCAAATCATTTGAGCACCATGATCAAAAACATGAAAAGATTTGGAAAATATCTGTTGATACCCAGGTTGTGGTACACATGTTTTGCAGATCCTGCAGTCAACCAAAACCTGCACGTTGCAATCCATGTTGTTTACGAACCGGACGTCTAGTTCGTTACAGGATTTTGAGTGGACTATGCATAGACTTGTTAGTCCAGCCAAAATGTAACTCCATAATTCCAGCCTAGTTCGGCAAAGGTGGAAACTGGACTTTTATAGTCAGTTAGTTTTAACTCCCTTGCCTCAGGGAGATGTCAGAATTGTTTAGTCATCATACATAAAGTCTTGTTAAGGACTTTCAAGGCAATGCTCAAACTTTTCAGGATAAATATAAGACCCAAGTGTGCTTTCAAACAGGTACATATGAGAAAAAAAGATCATTTTAAGTCATATTCAAGTTTGAGGTGTTTGAGTGTGTTTGAGTAGTTTTTTCCTTTTCCAATCATAGCAATTACTGTTATGTTAGAGAATGTCTATTTAGACATGCAAAAAGCAAATATTTGTCAAATCTCTCACCATGTTTCTTTTATAATAGGTAATACCCATAAATTTGAATAAAATCCTATGTTACTTTTAATGTCACGTTACAAGTTTCTAGAAATATCCATACCATATAATCTTGAATAGATTATCCCATACATTACACAGTATCCTAGCAATAGGACATCAATATTGATAACAACATTAATATACAAGCAATTACTGGTAGATGTATGAACAGATATTACTGATAAACGCCATTAGGAGATTTATGGTACACTTACACCCAGCCATTGATGATAAGATTGAAAGTAGTTGTGACAAAGACTTGTCGTGCTGGGGATTAAACCTACTTACATTGACAGCACACAATACACTGCCTTTTGAGTCTCAGGCCAGCGACAATATTGGGACATAAATATGTTCCTGACGTCCTTGAAACATGATTTATGTATTAGCTAGGACATTTATTTGCTTGTATGAACCAGTCTATCCTAAACTTGACACAAGTGATTTCAGACGACTTGGTCATCTCTCTTACAGGCCCAAGTGCATATTTTTAATCAAACATTCTCCCTCGTTCCATTATTATCCCTGTCTCAGCTCCAAGGGACTTGAGGATTCCTGTATTTCTATTTGACCTTAGAAATAACTTCATATCGGAAGGGCGTGGATGGCCCAGACGTCTAATGTGCTGCAATTTGATGTGCAGAGTTGTGTCCCTTGGGCATGCCAGAATCCTATGATCGTGGTTTCGAATCTCGATTTGTCCATTTCTGTTGCTAGCTTTGTCAGCACCATATCTGAGCTTGTGGGTTTCACCAAAGTGGTAAACGTCTGAGACCTGCATCACTTTGGGGTTTCCTCACACATTTATGATGACACACCGTGATATAACTGGAATACTGTTCAAAGTGGCGCTAAACCCAACTCACAAACTTACTCACTCACTTTTTATCAGGGACTATATGTTTTCAAAGAAGTTGCTGGCTATTTCTTTTTATCATATTTCAGCTGATGCCAAACTGGGTATCACACATTGTACCAGTGTTGGAGTTGAACCCAGATCTTTGACCTAGCTGATCTAACACTTTTACCAATAGGCTACTAAACAATCCCCATAATGAAAGAAATTGATTTTATTCTGTAGACAAATATACATCCACAGTATAACACAATAACAGATATGTAAACATATTTATTCAGTAGGACCGCACCTGTAAATGTATTCCCGGTATGTGAAGTGCTGGGGTACGAGATCAAAGTTCGCTATTAACTTGCACCTACACATCCAGTGGTTGTTGAAACCTGGTTGCTAAGTCCCTGAAGTAGCAGGGGGATCCCGCCTGCTTATAGTCGCTGACGGGATCAACTCACAGCACCATTACAGCACTCCAACACACACTGATAGCTTCGTTCGATCACAGCAGACATTACAACACAGTAACGATTCAACACACACTGATAGCTTCGTTCGATCACAACAGACATTACAACACAGTAACACTCCAACACACACTGATAGCTTCGTGCTATCACAGCAGACATTACAACACAGTAACGATTCAACACACACTGATAGCTTCGTTCTATCACAGCAGACATTACAACACAGTAACACTCCAACACACACTGATAGCTTCGTTCTATCACAGCAGACATTACAACACAGTAACGATTCAACACACACTGATAGCTTCGTTCTATCACAGCAGACATTACAACACAGTAACACTCCAACACACACTGATAGCTTCGTTCTATCACAGCAGACATTACAACACAGTAACGATTCAACACACACTGATAGCTTCGTTCTATCACAGCAGACATTACAACACAGTAACACTCCAACACACACTGATAGCTTCGTTCTATCACAGCAGACATTACAACACAGTAACGATTCAACACACACTGATAGCTTCGTTCGATCACAACAGACATTACAACACAGTAACACTCCAACACACACTGATAGCTTCGTTCTATCACAGCAGACATTACAACACAGTAACGATTCAACACACACTGATAGCTTCGTTCTATCACAGCAGACATTACAACACAGTAACACTCCAACACACACTGATAGCTTCGTTCTATCACAGCAGACATTACAACACAGTAACGATTCAACACACACTGATAGCTTCGTTCTATCACAGCAGACATTACAACACAGTAACACTCCAACACACACTGATAGCTTCGTTCTATCACAGCAGACATTACAACACAGTAACGATTCAACACACACTGATAGCTTCGTTCTATCACAGCAGACATTACAACACAGTAACACTCCAACACACACTGATAGCTTCGTTCTATCACAGCAGACATTACAACACAGTAACGATTCAACACACACTGATAGCTTCGTTCTATCACAGCAGACATTACAACACAGTAACACTCCAACACACACTGATAGCTTCGTTCTATCACAGCAGACATTACAACACAGTAACGATTCAACACACACTGATAGCTTCGTTCTATCACAGCAGACATTACAACACAGTAACACTCCAACACACACTGATAGCTTCGTTCTATCACAGCAGACATTACAACACAGTAACGATTCAACACACACTGATAGCTTCGTTCTATCACAGCAGACATTACAACACAGTAACACTCCAACACACACTGATAGCTTCGTTCTATCACAGCAGACATTACAACACAGTAACGATTCAACACACACTGATAGCTTCGTTCTATCACAGCAGACATTACAACACAGTAACACTCCAACACACACTGATAGCTTCGTTCTATCACAACAGACATTACAACACAGTAACGATTCAACACACACTGATAGCTTCGTTCTATCACAGCAGACATTACAACACAGTAACACTCCAACACACACTGATAGCTTCGTTCTATCACAGCAGACATTACAACACAGTAACACTCCAACACACACTGATAGCTTCGTTCTATCACAACAGACATTACAACACAGTAACGATTCAACACACACTGATAGCTTCGTTCTATCACAACAGACATTACAACACAGTAACGATTCAACACACACTGATAGCTTCGTTCGATCACAACAGACATTACAACACAGTAACACTCCAACACACACTGATAGCTTCGTTCTATCACAACAGACATTACAACACAGTAACGATTCAACAGCAGCTGAGAAGAAACAAAATTGAATTTACTGTAGTCATAAGAAGGAATCAGGTTTTCTGTAAGTTCTTTTGAGTAGTATATCTATAAATACTGAAGGCACTTCGTAGTGTTCAGACACCAGGACTACTACTCGTATATCATGTACTTCAAATTTTTCAAGTATTTGAAATACGCTGAGTTTAATCACACACAACGTTCTTGCATTAGGAAATCATGTTTTCAAAATTTAAAAATTCTATACAAGGGAAAGGTTTTAGGACTGTGGATGTGTTCTCCTGTTAAGGATTTCATCATAACCTTGCCAGTGGATGGAATATCAATGAATAGATATGACGGATTGTTGGTCTCAATACTTTAATAGCTGACAGTATGTTAGGCTCCATCTACTGGTAGTTTCTGCAGACTGCTGTAAGCAAGGTTCAAGTTTGTTAAGTTTCAGCAAAGTGGTAAACATCTGACACCTGCATCACTTCAGGCTTTGCTTCAACATCAAGCTGCCGTGCTGTGATGTAATTGAAATATTGTTCAAAGTGGCCTTACACTTCACTCACTCACTCACTCTTCTGTTTCTGACAAATCAGGTCTGAAATGTCACAGGTATAAACAGTCATGAGCAAGCTTAGATTAACATGCACACACCCCACCCACCCCTCCACCACCCAAAAAAGGCAAAATATAGAACTAAACAATAATAATTTAAAAAACCCAATACAAATACAAAATCACACTCTATCATTATTGGCTATGTAAGATCCATTACAACATATTTAATGAAGCCCCCACAAGACAAAAAATAATAATTTAAAAAAACCCAATACAAATACAAAATCCCACTCTGCCATTATTTGCTATGTAAGAATAATTCATGAAGCAAATGCAAGGGCGTTACATTCCCCATGCCCCTGTACTGTGTAGGCCTGCAGGATTGCCACTGTCTACCTGCACAGGTTATACA